GTGAATTTTTAAATTTTAAATTAAAATTTAAGTTTTCAAGTGTAGTTTAGGAGCTTAATTTTTTTAAGAGTCACTATTGATACACACAAAACTCTTAAAATTTTTTATTTAATATATATTATAATTTATTTTAAAAATAAAATAAATACATTAAAGGTCATTCCAAACAAGAAAAATAAATAACTAAAAAATATAATACAATAAAAAGTTATCTTCGAATCATTTTTACCTTTTTTTTAATCAATTATATTTCCTTAATAAGCAATAAGCTTATCCCATCTTTGGATTAACTTACCATAATAATGCAATAATACAATTCTTCACACATTAGTTGATCAAATAATTATACAAATCTGTATTTCCTGCAAAACTTTTGGATTTCCTTATAGGTAAATGATTGAGAAAACATTTTTACAGAATTTTTTCACACTTTTTTAAATGTTATATAATAATAAATTGTATAAAAAAAAGTTTTTTAAAAAATTATAAGCATACATAGCATTACCGTTTTCTTATAGTATCTTTAATTTTCTAACCCCTTTTATTACTGAAACCTTTACAAGTCAACCTTCATTTCTTTAATTATTCTTTTCTCCAGTTCGCTTATTTTATCTCACAATCACAAGTCATACCCTTTCTGTGCTTATAATATTAAAAGCTATTTCCATTTCCAATCAATCCAAGCTTCCTACCAGACGAATTAAACTTGTAACAGCTTCACAAAAATGGTGGTTACGGGGACTGGCGAGGGTCTTCCCAACTTGAAGACGTTAGCCATCCAAATCCTCACCAGCCCATGGTTCATAGTCTTCGGTTCAATCCTCATATTGTCCAACGCCGGTGGCACCTACGTGTTCGGCCTCTACTCCAGTGACATTAAGGATGCTTTAGGATATGACCAGACCACCCTCAACCTCCTCAGTTTCTTCAAGAACCTTGGCGCCAACGTGGGTATCCACGCCGGATTAATGGCTGAGGTAACCCCACCGTGGTTTATCCTCACTGTCGGCGCCGTATTGAACTTGTTCGGCAGCTTCATGATGTGGCTTGCCGTGACCAAAAAAATCTCCCGACCGGCAGTCTGGCAAATGTGTCTGTACATCTGCGTTGGCGCCAATTCTCAGGCGTTCCCCAACACCGCTTCCTTAATCACGTGCGTCAAAAATTTTCCCCAAAGTCGTGGAGTCGTTTTAGGAATCCTCAAAGGCTATGTCGGCCTTAGCGGCGCGATAATGACACAGCTGTACCATGCTATCTACAACAACAACTCAAAGCAATTGATTTTGCTGATCGGATGGTTACCGGCAGCGGTTTCGTTGGTTTTTGTTCGAACTATTCGTTTCATGAAGGTAACTCATCAGGCTAATGAGTTGAAGGTGTTTTACAAGATTCTTTACATCTCCCTCGGTCTGGCGGGGTTTCTGATGATAATAATCATCATGGAGAAAAAGTTCTCCTTCACACAGGGGGAGTACGGCGGCAGCGCCGCCATAGTTCTTATTTTGCTCTTTTTGCCGATAGCGGTTGTGATTGCAGAGGAATTGAAAATTTGGAAGGCGAAGCAAGATGTCCTTCATGATCCTTCTCCAGTAAAAGTAATCGCCGAGAAGCCAACCTCAGAAACAGCCTCCTTAGACCAGCCAGTGTCAACAACCAGCTCCATTGAGGCCAGAGTTTCCGGTGATCAAACAAATATTTCTTGCTGGAAAACTGCTTTTCAGCCACCCAATAGAGGCGAAGACTACACCATTCTCCAGGTTTTTTACCTTTTTCCTTTTTTTTGTTTTTTTGTTTTTTTTTTATTAATTACATGAAATCTTGATTTTGATACGACTTACCCAAAATTCATTTAGTTGGCTATTATAACAAGTATTTTATCTTATGATAAAGTTTCATAAAAAATATATATATACTCGCGTGTAGGTAATTGTGCATCTTGACCTTGATTTCAACTAAATTTTTTTTTTTTTTGATTTTGCAGGCACTTTTAAGCTTGGACATGTTAATCCTCTTCTTGGCAACAATCTGTGGTATGGGAGGCACTTTATCGGTCATAGACAACTTGGGACAGATCGGAGCCTCCCAGGGGTACCCCACGCAGAGCATCAGCACCTTTGTATCGCTGGTGAGCATATGGGGTTACCTCGGCCGTGTCATTGCCGGTTTTGTTTCGGAAATCATCTTAACTAAGTACAAATTCCCCCGCCCTCTTACGCTCACTCTCGTCGTGCTCCTCTCGTGCCTCGGTCACCTCCTGATTGCCTTCAACGTCCCTGGCGGCCTCTATGTTGCTTCCATAATCATCGGATTCTGTTTCGGGGCACAGTGGCCTTTAGTTTTAGCAATAATTTCCGAAATTTTTGGACTCAAGTACTACTCCACATTACTCAACTTCGGGACCGCGGCAATTCCTATTGGATCCTACATCTTCAATGTGAAGGTGATCGGAAATTTGTACGATAACGAGGCAAAGAAGCAGGTGACGGCATTAGGAATCACGCGGAAGTCCGGGCAAAACCTGAATTGCACCGG